TGGGGATTCTGGTAAAGAGAAAACGCTATGTCTGGGGCAGTATGTAATGGCAGAGTTCTCCTGCTGCTACTTCCACGAAGCATGTTGTGCAAAGTTCCCCTTTGCTCGTATCGATGCAAATACAGACACATTTGCAGTGCTTTTATAAAGGGAGACTAAGCTGCATTTGATGGTCATGTTATTACAGCAGTTGCATCCTTAAAGGAAGCAGGCTTTTCAGCTGCATGGCAGCAGTTAGGAGCAGTTAAACCCCAAGATTTACAGTCAAAATGGTTAGGAAGGTAAAGGTTCAAGTTTTTTGGGAGCCAAGTTCTTGCCTAGCAGACCACTGTAGTCAAAAGCTACCCCAGCCAAGAAACAGGATTTCGGTGTATACAGCAAAATACCACCAAAAAGGTGCAAAAGCCTCTGGCAAATGGGTTTATCCAGCACCTCCCATCATCCCGGTAAAGAAAATGTTTGATGTCTGGGCTGATGAGCAAAATGGAGTATCTGCAGTAACATGTTATTCGTGAGTGAGCTTTTAGATGAGTTTATTGCATAGCAAGTGCAAATACCCATTACGGTTAATAAATCACTGTTGATAGTATTTGCAGCTAGCAAACACACAGGGAGGGAAAATTTCAGACCACATCTGCTTCATACCGAGATGGGAGACACCTGAGATTTTCCTTCCATCTGAAGGACTTCACCTTGCTTTTCTGGCGTTTGAAAATAGCTATTCTTGTGCTGAATTCTCAGAGCAACTGCTCTCTGTTCCCAGTGAACCACAATCCCCCTTGAAATCCACCTCCTTGATGGCCAGCCTGGATTTCCTGCTGCTTCGTCGGAGTGTCCTGGTGACAAGTACCTGGGTTTGTACCTTCTTTAGCCCCCCAAAGTCGTGGGAGCAAAGGAAAACAGCCGCAATTTGTTCCTGGGCAGGGTAGCTGTAGACACCCATTTTACAACTTGCAGGGGAGGACCTTCAGATCCCACAACTGTGTTGTGTGTGTATCTGCAGATACGTCTTCTCCTTTACTCAGGTTTTGCTCCCTGCTTAGGCAACAGAGGCCTAAGGGTTATCATTTGGCAGTCAAAAGACAACGTCTAGTTTTCCTGAGGCTGCTGGTCGTGCGCAGCCTTTTTAAAATCTGTCTCTGGCAGGCTATGGAGCAGTGTGAAATAAACTGCAGATTGTGTATCTATCCGTTCTATCACCCAGTTTAGATGGATAATTTACATCAGCATGATAGCTGCACCAAATCTTATTTCCTAACAAGTACCATGTAAAAACACCAAGATTAAACCTGTGAATATACGTGCTCCCAAAAAGCCAGTTCAGTGTGAGGTCAAGATTAATCACCGCTTTAACCAGCGCATTGCTGCAGGTGTGCGGAGGAAGGCATCTTTCACACAGGCCTGGGGGAAGGCACGCTCCACCACACGAACACTGCTCACGTTCTCATTTCTGTTGCCTGCGCGAGGTACGCTAAGAAGCAGATGAGCACAGAAAAGTTGAGAAGGGAAAATGTAAAAGGTTGTCATCACAGGGGAGATGCTCAAAGCTATAAAAAGCTAAACACTTGGGTCCACCTGCTGACTCGAAAAGTTTATCCCAGGGCAATGACACAACCAAAGGTAGTGGCATTGAACAGCCTCACACTTGGACTGAAGTCTATTTAAGTTGACAAATGTCTGTAAATAGTGCTATGACCAATCATCTGAAAATAGCAAAAACCCCACCTTTTAGAAAGTTAATGTTGATTGCATCAAAGTGTTAATATAAGAGAGCAGACAGATAGCTCTGGATGCTGCATTGCCCTGGAAAACATAGGTCCCAACACCTGACTTGTCCATTCCCTCAGACAAAGTCATCCCAAGGCCTCTAGGATGTAGCGCTATGGAGCACTGAGCTACAACTGTTTCCCTAAAACTATACCTGGATCAACCCAAACTCCCCTTTACCACCCGGTTGTGCACGAGACCCACACAGCTGGCCCCAGGGCATGTGGTAGGGCCGACAACGGGGTCTCTTCGCCCTGTGGGGCCGAGGCTGCTCTCTCCGAGCGGCCCGCGCCCAGCAAACCTCAGGCTGCGCTGAGGCATGTCAATGCCCTCAACTGCATCCAGGGACGGCTGCCGACAGCAAGACCGGAGCAGAAACACCCCGGAGGAGCGCTGCTCTCCTCACCACCAGCTCTCATCAACGCCGGCTGCAGCCTCGTGACACCCCAAACATGAAACAGTGGGAAAGCCCGGCCCCAGCAGGCGTCCACCGAGCAGGACCTTTTGTGGAGAGGGTCCTGACAGAGCAAGGCTCTTATCATGCAACGCCAGAAGCAATCTCAGAGTATTTTTAAATAAGGACCCGAAGCAAACAAAGCACGGGACTCAGTAAGATTGCAGAACGAACACAGTAAAAGGAGCATCTAAGATCAGTTCTGCCATATCAAAGAATACACAAGCTCTAAACAGGGGTGGAGGATAATTAGAAGTGTGTGTATATGTATATATATATACACACACCATGTGAAAGTTCAGCTCCTTCTGGGGAGAAGCCAAAAGATCAGCTTCCCGCATCCCATGCCAAGGTCTGTGCAGGCACAGATGAGAGCGAGCTGTCCCCCAGCTTTACGAGCCAGCCAAACTACTTTAAAAACAAAACCGAATCACTTTGCAGGCATCTAAAATCAAACCCTCGAGACAAGGAAAAGATGCCGTGATTTGCTTTCTGAGAGACAAACTCCTACCCAGCCTCACCTTGCAAAACCTGGGCTCCGTACACGCACGCATCCCCCAGCTTTAAATCGGGGCAGAGGCAGCCGTCAGCCCCAGCCCGGGGGGTAGCCCCAGGGGTGGCGCGGGGCACAGCCGCATCTGCCATCCCTGCAGGGAAAAGGGGAGATACGCTCCAGAAAGGGGAGCTTCGCAACCACAGGCATTTAGCTCAAGTTAAATATTTAGTTAATAAAAAAAATCTCACCCTTCTGTCTTTTAAAGGGGCTGTGCCACGTACAGGCTGTCGCAGCACACCACGGAAAGGATGTTTTGGGAGCACACAAAGGCTGACGCTGAAAAGCACTTTTTAAAAATCAGGCTCGAAACAGTCTGCCTTCTAACACCCTTACTTTTAAGAGCGGGAAAATGCGGGGTTGTTCCTTTTTCCCTCCTTCACAGGGTCAAAAAGGGAGGACAAGGGAACAGGTTTTTCTGTGTTCAACAGACAAGTTCTCAGGAGGATTTTTTTGCAAGTCTGCTTTCTACCACCGGTGTGAAATAACCGACGGTTGGCCCACTCCTCTAGTTCGCCCCTTTGGAGACAGATTTATGGAACGCAAGGCCTCGCTTCTCACAAGGAAACTTCTTCCGTCGCAGATGGGGGGGCAAAGAAGGAGAGCGGAGCCCATCTCTGCAAAGGAAGTACACCAAGACGAGAGGGACAAAAACAGATCACGGGCGCCACGAAGAGCCGGCGGGCCCAGCGCTGTGACAAGAAGTCCCACCTGGGGCACAGATCGGCCCCCGCCGGCCCCTGGCCGGGGAGCGGGGGGGGGACGGGACAGGGGGGT